TTTTTTCCCAAGGCCCAAAACCCCCCCGAAAAAAAAAAAAAACCCGGGGCCCCCCCCCCCCCGGGCCCCCCCCCCCCGGGCCCCCCCCCCCCCGCCGCAACCCGCCCCCACCGCCGCTGTGCGTCGTGCTCCGCAGCCGCAGGGTCTGCTGCTCTCTGCCATGCTCGCGCGGCGGTCCCGCCGGGCCCCGCGCCCTCGCCGCCCGGCCGGGGCTGGAGAGGCTCAGTCGAGGTCGATGCCGCGCTCCTCGCACGCGGCCACCAGCTCAGGCTGCTTGTAGCCCACCTCGAGGTACTGCACGCGAGGGGAGGTGCGATCAACATTGGGCGGGGGAGGGGCGTGTGGCGAGGGGGGGCGTCTCGCGCCTTCAAGCTCGGGGCGGCCCCCTCCTTGAGGGCGGCGGCCAGCGCCTTGCAGCCCTCGTCGCCAATCTTGTTGCCGTTGAGACCGAGCGTCTCGAGCCGCGGCGCTGCCCCGCTCGCGAGGACCTCCGCCAGCTGCGCCGCCTCCGCGTCGCCCCAGCCGAGGCCGATGTAGAGCAGCTCGGTCGCCTTGCCAAACTGCTCCTTGAAGGCGGCCTCGTACAGCCGCTCCACCAGCGGCTTGTCGTCCTTGCCGTTGGTGAAGCTCTTCTTCTCCAGCTCCGCCGCGAACGCAGACGGCAGCAGCGGAGGGCGCCGGCCGCCCTCCAGGGTGCAGTCGGCTCGGAGGCTGCGGAAGTCGTACTCCTCGCCGTCGCGCATCTTGCCGAGGTCGAGCGAGAGGTAGGCGGCCTTTGTCAGGCCAGCCCAGCTCTGCTCCGTGTAGCACCAGCCGCGGTCAAAGTACTTGGCCACGTTGGTGCCTTCGGTCTGATCCTCCGCCTTGTGGCCGTCCGGGAAGGAGGTCAGCCGCAGCACGAACGTGTGCTGGTGGGAGTAGAGCGTGCCGAGGCAGCTCAGCCCCTGCTTGAAGAGCGCGTTCTGCTCCTCGGTGCGCAGGACGCCGTTGGGGGGGTCGGGGTGCTGGTGCAGCGAGCCGAAGTCCCAAAACACGCCGAGCCGCGTGATGCCGAA